TATATATATATATATATATATATATATATATATATATATGGATCAGAAGTTGGTTATTGTAAAAAAAGTAATGTGCATGCAGGTGATATTTGTATAGATGTATCTACACCCTTCTGACAGTGCTGCCATTGCAGTCAGGTCTCTCAGACTACGAGGAGTAGAAGTTGTCCGACTTGGCTGCGGTATACTCCACCCCTGCAGCTGCCGGCAGATCTCGCTCTACGTCACGTCAGCTGCAGACAGACCTAAGCCCAAGTCGAATGCAACCAGTGTATTTGCAAAAGTGGTTTAACCCACAAAAGAAAAAAAAATTCTGAGTGTTTTTCCACAAATCAAAGGTGGTAACCCTACACAGGCGTGGGCGAACCAGGTCCCCTTGGGTCTGTAAAGCACCGTGTGTGTAGTGAGAAGTGCTATATAAATGAGGGTGAACTGAAATTCCAGACTGATTGTACAATTAACATCCTCCATTAATCATTGTAATTTACTGAATGGTGCATTAACTACCAGTCTTTCAACAATGATTGTAACCTTTCAACATAATAGGTGTTCATGCTGTGTGCTGTCTGGTCAGAGGAACATTAACATGATCAGAGCCCATACCAGTTTTGTAAGATTGTGTGGTTGCTTAGCGGGGGGTGGTCCTGTGCTTTAGGTTGGGTAAGCGCGTGCACCGAAACACCCCTGATGTATATTGTTAACATAATGCCATATTAGTATTTTCCGTCTCGGAACACTTTTTTCCACGATTTGTTTCCTGTCAGATTATATTTTGCGTAACACCGCTGCTCACACGTGCGCAGCAACACTAAAGACAGTACGTGAATCCTTGAGCAAAAAGTAAGTACGTGCAGTTCATTGACGTAATTAAACCGCTTGCTTTTTTTGTTATAATCCAATATAATCTTTTAACGGCCTGGGCTACTACTGTACTGTCAAAACCAAATGCGTGTTAATGAAGAAATTGAAATATATGCAATTGCAAATTACTTTAATGCAGGTTTTATGTATTGATTTATAAATGTTCTGTATATTTACAGCGTTACAGCGATAGTGCATAGTTCCCCTGGCTAATTTATTTAACTCCCACCTCCAGGGGTGCCGCACACTGACTGACCCTGTGCTGGCACCCCCAAGCTTGCTCTTACCTGCATATGTGTCTGTGTGTCTCATGGAAAGTAAGATGGGATATGTGTAGAGAAGCCTTCCACCGACCTTGTATTCTTACTTGTACAAATGGTAAATAAAAGATAATTTAATTTCATACAAACACTTGGTTTGTAGGAAGCTGTACTGAAAATATACAGGGATATGCATGTCAAATTTGTTTTGTAATACAGACACTCCCTGGCTTACGGTGGTCCGTGTTACGATATTTCGACTTCACGATGGGAAAATTTTTCACATTCAGTACATTATTCTATAAATTACATGAGATATTCAGCACTTTTCTTTTAAAATTAGGCTTTATGTTAATGATTTTTCCAAACTGTAGTGTTCATAAACAGAACACTAAGTGTTCTAAGCATGTTTTTAATGTAGGCTAGGCTATATTGTTTGCGTACCGTATAACGTTGGGTGTACCATATTATAAATGCATTTTCGCTTTATGACAGGTTTATTGGAACTTAACCCCATTGTAACCTGGGAAGAGACTGTACTTGTTCTGTTTTTAGACATTTTTAATTTGACACCCTTAGTTTACTCTATAATATTTCGCACTAACCATAATCTGTGCAATAAAACTTTTTTTTAGGCAGACAGTGATGCCAAGAAATAGGAAATCAGCAGCAACGAAGGACGTAAAGGGGGATGGTGTCCCCCCTAAGCAGAGGCGAATGGAGGAGCCCCCCAAAGATGTTCCTTCACCCCTTAATTTCGACAGTCCCTCCAGCCTCTTCCAAAGTCTGATCGCGCCTCTGGGAGTGGAGGAGTTTTTCCGGGATTACTGGGAGAAGAAGCCGCTGCACCTGCAACGCCGCGACCCGGCCCTGGTGGCCTATTGCAGCACGCTCTTCCAGCTCTCCGACCTGAAGGGGCTGTGCAGCCGGGGCCTGCAGTACCCTACCGATGTCAACATCTGCCACTGTGTCGACGGCAAGAGGAAGCCAGTGGCCAGAAGGGGGCGCGTGATTTACAGTGAGCTGAAGAAGGAGTTTGACAAGAACAGGGTCACTATACAGTTCCACCAGCCGCAGCGCTTTAAGGTGAAAGATGGGGTGGCATGACAGAATGGGGATCCCCCACCCCCCAGCTCAGTCAGTCTAATTCTACTGTTTCCGGTTCAGGATGAGCTGTGGAGGATCCAGGAGCAGTTGGAGTGCTTCTTCAAATCCTTGGTTGGCTCCAACGTCTACATAACGCCGCAGGAGTCACAAGGGCTTCCCCCGCATTACGATGACATCGAGGTGAGTGGGGGGGTGGGGGGGGTGTTTGTGCTTGAATGTCCTTTAAATACTCGTTCAGGTGTTGGGTGTGACTCCACCGCCTGCTTGGGTGGTCTGTGCCTGTGATCAGAAGGTCACCAGTTCAAATCCCATGCATGGCATAATTGTCACATCCCTTGAGTAAGGCCCTTATGCTCCTGAAAGATGCTCCGGGGGCACCGGATAAATGGCGGACCCTGAGCTCTGGCTCTAAGCTTCTCACTTGTGTGTTTGTGTATGTCTCAGTGGAGAGCAGGACGGGATATGCAAAAAGAAGCATTTCAGTGTACCTCTACTCTAGAGCTGTGTCTATACTGCAATTGATCAATAATCAGTTTGTCACAAATTTTCATTGTTGAATGGAAACCTTGCACGGATGTATTAATTCATTGCAGTACCATTTCGTACCGGCAGATGGCAAATGGCAGAATGTCAAATCATATGCGATTTATGTGGCTAAGTGCACTGCAATGCAAGTGAACTATCCGCCTATGAAACGTTACACTACAAGTATAATGTTTCATTCTATAAGCTTTCTTCCCCCACATTTGCTGTTTTAAAAACTATGCCTAGTTGTATAGTTTATGCAACTTGGACTTGAAGTGCTTAACAGCTTTATTTAGGGTACTGACTCATCCTTGGTAGTTAATGCCTGTTTATTAAACTTGTCTTGCTTTAAATTTGAGTAGTTTGATTATTTCAGTATTGTAGTGGTAACCATTAGGACACCATGGTAATACTGTGATATTATGATGCATTGAATCACAACGCTGGTATTGTGATGCGTAGCGTATCATGGGCTAGTTGGTAATACCCAGCCTTGGCGTCCTCATCCTCAGACGAACCGCAAATGAAGTGCCATTTCATTGCAGGCGTTCGTCCTGCAGCTGGAGGGCGAGAAGCACTGGCGTCTCTACCAGCCCACGGTGCCCCTGGCGTGCGAGTACAGCCTGGAGCAGGAGGATCGCATTGGCAGGCCTACCCACGACATTGTGCTGAAGGTGAGCGACACGGCGCCCCCCCGAAGGCCGCAGGGCTCATTGCTGCCACATGGAATGGTTCTGATCAGCCCCTTGCTAACTGCTAATGTGATTTTAAGTGATTCTGAATGTGGTGTAACTGTTGGTGCCTGACAGCAGCTCCAGCATCTCTCTGACTTTCATTCATTATAGTGTGTGACGGTTACAGGTTACAGTCATCCACAATCTTTAAAGCTAATTGGAAGCCCACAAGTACAAAAATAACAGCTCTGTACAACTGTGGTGTGTGGAACAGCTTCTCTGGACACGCTGGTAGCAGTTGGCTACCCTTGAAATGTTCTAGAGGTGGTAATGGGTCCTGCTGAGTATTAGTTATGTGTACCTTACAAAGTGCCACTGAGTGTGTGTAATATGCATGTATATAAGATACAGTATGTGGTGGGTTCTTGTTGCCGAGTCCCTGAGCTGCCCTGTCCTCGCAGCCCGGGGATCTTCTCTATTTCCCCAGGGGTATTATCCACCAGGCAGATACCCCAGCGGGGGTGGAATACTCCACCCACCTAACCATCAGCACCTATCAGAACATGTGCGTGAGTACCGTCTCCCAGCATGCTCGGCCGGACCGCATGCTGCAGGGCCCTAACTTCTGGCTGCTCCTCCTCCCTCCCTCCCTCCGATGGCATCCCAGGTCCTGGGGGGACTTCCTGCTGGATGTTCTCCCGGGCTTCCTGTTCGACTCCATGAAGAGTGACGTTGGCTTGAGGGAGGGCATTCCCAGGGAGCTGCTGACGGTCTGGCTATTCTCCGTATCCCATCCGCCCTCCATCACCTAACGACCCAACGTGCTGCGTCCGACTGATGACACAACAGGATGCTTTCCTGTGTCAGCCTGTATTTGCATCAACACTGATCTAGAAAAATCCCCTATTTCCAAATTTGATATTTTTTCTCTCGCTCAGGCAGTGCTGTTATCTATACAACTTAACTTTTAATCTCTCCATACAGCCGCAGAAAAAATTGAGACCACTCTATTTTTAAACAAATATGCATTTTTAAATCCTGGTTTAATCCTGGTTCTGCTGGCAGGAGGCTACATTGAGCGGCAGGATGCTTTCAGGTTCAAAATTTCTAAGACCACAGTACACAAGAATAAGGTGAAGCAGGAGACACTGGGAACGACCAGAAACCAGCCAGGTAAAGGGCGGAAGCCACATTCTAATGCCAGAGATGACTGCGAACTTATCTGACAGTTTCTCATGAATCAGAGGATGACATCAAGTGACCTTCGAAAGGAATCGGAAACATTACGTGCAGGTGTGAAGTGCACTGCTAGGACAGTCCATATCAGACTCCTAGAAGCAGGACTGAAGCCCCATAAAGCAAGGAAGAAGCCCTTCATTAAAGAGAAGCAGGGAAGAGCCAAGCTGCAATTTGCAGAAAAATACATATTATTCACAGACGCACACTCATAAATGGAGAAATTAGTGACACAAAAAAAATTGTGCTGTGGTCTCTTAATTTTTTCCGTGGCTGTATATATTTTTAGATATTCTGTTTGAACATTGTTTTGGGTGAGGTCTTCAGATGAGTCATTCTGTCTGTTTTTCTGTTTATGAAAATAACATGTATATAAGTCACAGTGCATATTATGAGGCCCCCGTGAGCAGCGATTTGGGCCATTTTGCAGATTCACGTCCTGCCGCATTCGTGTTCGTGCCAGAGTATCTCATCCGGGCCGATTCTGTGAAACGCACTCCCACTCCCCGTGCTCGGATAGCCCCGTGCAGGTCCGTCTGACTCCGCTATCCGAGCTGACCCCCCCTTGCACTCCTCCCCTGCAGGGCGGCGCCTCCCGGTGCCCAGACACAGCCAAGCGGCTGTCGGGCCTCTTGCGGCAGCTGGCAGACAGGATGGAGCTGGGTGGCGAGCTCCGCTCCGCCGAGATGCAGAGGGACTTTGTGGCCAGTCGGCTGCCACCGTACCTGCAGGAGGGCGATGACGTCTCACCAGGTGGGAGTTGGGAGGGATGGCGCAAGCCCTGTTGCCATGGTGATAGACCTGCCTCACTGTGTGTGTATATGTGTCATAGCAGGCAAGATGCCAGCACTGGAGGACACGGTCTGTATGCGGTTCAGGGACCATATACTGGTGACTGTGGAGCTCAGCCAGGAGAGAACGGTGAGTGCAGAGTCTGTCCCCAGACCCGCCATTATTCATCTGAATGTCAGCGTCCGTACCGACATGCTGTCTGTGCTTCTGGTGGCCAGGATGAGCCCAGAGAGCTGGTGGTCTTTGTGTTACACTCTCTGAGGAACAGCAGGAAGACGCACATGATGGGGGAACAGGAGGAAGACGAGGATGATGAAGAGGGACAGGTAGCCCCTCCTTCACCAAATCACAGCCATTTGTTGGAAGACGCCTTTATAATGATTTTAAAACGTAACTGCTTCCACCCCCCCTCTCCCCCCAGACACAGCCTGGCAGCCAAGGCCTGCGCTTCCCCATCTCCCACCTGCAGGCCCTCCGGCAGCTGCAGAGCACAGAGCGCCTCCCGGTGGCCAGGCTGCAGCTGCAGCTCGACTCAGACAAGCTGAACCTGGCCATGGCCCTCTGGTCCGAGGGGCTGCTGCACGTGTGCTAGGCGCAGTAAAATCCCTGCGACTCTGGTGTCAGCCACATTGCATGATGGGAAATCATGCAATAAAACGAATGTGGATGAGCTCAGGACCTCTCAGTTTGGGTTTGTGGCACAGTAACATATTAAAGACCACAACTAGTACATAATGAATCTACTGCACTGTACTTGAGAGTAGGACTATCTATTATTAACCTAATTGTATCATTTTAAAAATTACTGCTAAGGTGAAAAACAAAGTGTGCTGTGTTTTGTTTTGTGGTCTTCAGCTACAAATAATCACTCCAAAACAACACCTTGGTATTTCATCACTTTAATTACATTTTTAAAAATTGTACTCTTAATTGCACAAATTAATATTTCACACATACTGTACATTTCTATAGACAATCACGTATTGAGATACTCCTGATCTGTGCCTGAATATAATTTTTTGTTTTTTTATTATGTATTTTTAAATCCAGTGAAATGACCTGAAAATGCGTATCTGCCAGTAAGATGTCTTGGGTTTACAGGGAACTGAAATGCTGTTTTTCCCCCCTAAGGCCCCTACAAGACACAGATTTCTGCATATTCTAGACGGATAAGGACACGCGCTAAATGTGGGACGGTAGCTTATCACTCCTCGAATCGTGGGTGGGACTTCTTCGTGGCGACAGGCCTCCCCGAGGGTGAAAACGTCCGTGAGTCTCGGGTAGTGCAAACGACATCCTGCTGTAACGCAGAAAGGAAGCGGGAAGAGACTCGGCGCTGTGCCGCATGGGGCAGCCACTCGGAGGTGCTGTTTTGCCTTTTTTTTATTTTTTTTTTTTTTTGGTTTTGAGTCCATCACTCCTTCCATTTGGGGTTTTGCCTGGACAGATAGAGATATACCCCCCCCC